GAAAGGACCCGTCGGACGCCGCCCCTCCTCGTCCCCCTCCTGTCCCTTCATCCTTCTCCTCCTCCTGGGCCTCCTCTCCTCCTCCTCCTCGTCCCTTCGTCCTCCTCCTTCTCTTCCCACCCGCTCCTCCTCCTCCTCCTCCTCCTCCTCCTCCTCCTCCTCCTCCTCCTCCTCCTCCTCCTCCCTCCTCGCTCGGGGCTCCTTCGCCGACCGCTTCGACTCCTGGCCCGCGGCCTCGCCCGCGGAGCGCGCGGCCCGGACCTCCGCGGCGGACTCCAGCTGCCGGGCGTTCACGCCCTGCGCGGGGGGGTGGCCGCCGTCGCCCCCTCCAGGGGGGCGTGGGGGTGGGGGGGCGGAGGAGGAAAAAGGAGGAGGAAGGATGAGGAAGGAGGAGGAGGAGGAGGAGGAGGAGGAGGAGAAAGGAGAAGGAGAAGTACCAGGAGGAGGAGGAGGAGGAGGAGGAGGAGGAGGAGGAGGAGGAGGAGGAAGAGAAGGAGGAGGAGGAGAAAAGAGGAATGAGAGCTGTGGAGATGGAGGAGTGATAGTGAGAGTGAAAAGTACCAGGACGTTGTCCTGAACGAAACCTCTCGCCTCCCCGAGCTCAGTGGACGATGACCACGGAGACCTGAAGCGACGACGCCTGCGGGGAAAAACAACCTCGAACAAGATTTCACCGAATTGCAGGTACATCATCAAGCCGTCTGGTAACTAGCTCCCCCGAATGCGACGCAATGACGCCGCCCGTCCCACCCAGAACCGAATCCAGAAGGCTGCGACCGTCACACCAACACTCCCACCAACATGCAAAGCTGAAACGAAACTTGAACTACACTAACAAGGGAATGTGTGTGTGTGCCGAAGCGGGCATTGAAAACGAAATCGAAGGATAAATCCGCCGATACGGAGTGTGAGTTTCTGAGAGCGTGGGCTTGAGCTTGCTCAAGCTTCGCTTTGCAAAGGGGGGGGGACGCAAACGACAAAAGAGTTGACACGCAAGGCCTCCCCAATGTCGGGACCGCCCTCCCCCCCTGCACCTTCCTCTCCGGCGCCCCCCCCTCTCTTCCTGCACCCCCCCCCCCTTCCTCTGCAATCTCCTCTCCGCCCCCCCCTCTTCCTGCACCCCCCCCCGCCTCTGCACCTTCTCTTTCCCCCAGCTCCCCCCCTCCCCCCTGCACTGCGCCCTGGACAGGAGAGAGGGGGGGGAGGGGAGGGGAAATGAGAGAGGGGGGGGGAGGGGGGACAGGAGAGAGGGGGGGGGGACAGGAGAGAGGGGGGGGGGGACAGGAGAGAGGGGGGGGGGAGAAGGGGGGGGGGGGGACAAGAGAGAGGGAGGGGGGGAACAGGAGAGAGGGGAGAGGAGGAGGGGGAAAGGAGAGAGGTGGGGGGAGGGGACAGGAGAAAGGGGGGGGGACAGGAGAGAGGTGGGGGGCTGGGGGGGGGCCGGGATCATCACCATCTGCATCACCATCACATCACAATCGTCATCATCATCCATCATCATCATCATCATCATCATCATCATCATCATCATCATCATCATCATCATCATCATCATCATCATCATCATCATCATCATCATCATCATCATCATCATCATCATCATCATCATCATCATCATCATCATCATCATCATCATCATCATCATCATCATCATCATCATCATCCGGAGCGCCCCGGATCGGCGGCACTGGCCGAAGGCCACTACAATATGGCCGCGCTCTTCACCAGCATTGAGTAGAAGGGCCAGCACCGATACCCAGTACAGTCGGGGCGCTGAAGAAGGAACCTTTCTCGTTGGGGAGGGGCTCGGTGTTCCTTGATGGTTTACCAGTTTGTCTGAGGTTATCGGGAGCTTTTCCATGGGAAATCGAAGTTTAACTTATGGGGATGAGGGGCCTCGTTCCTTATTTAGGGTTCCTTAGGTCAACGCCCCGACTGTACCCTCAAGTTCCCCGAAATTGAAGCCCACGATGCAGCAGCCGCTGAACCCCATCGCGGTGTGCCACCAGAGAACAAAAAGCCCCCGGCACGGCGACCGCCTGGGAGGGCACCACCACTGACCAGAGCAGCAAGCCGCTGAACCCCAGGCGGCGTGTTACAAGGGATGGAGGAGGAGGAGGAGGAGGAGGAGGAGGAGGAGGAGAAGGAAGGAGGAATGAAAGCTGTGGGGATGGAGGAGGAGGAGGAGGAGGAGGAGGAGGAGGAGGAGGAGGAGGAGGAGGAGGAGGAGGACCAGTGTAAACCCACGACTCAGCAACGATGTTGGAATACACCCTCCCTCCAAGCTCCCCCTTCACAGGCCCCTACTAAGGTTCAATGCCACTGAAAGAATTGCCCCCTTGGGCGACAACCGTGTGAAAATCCTGAGGCGTGCCAGAACACCACTCTCAGGACTTCAACGCCGCGAGTTACAGTGACTGTTACGTCATAGCCGTCCAGAATCGTGCCAAATCGCAGTTCCTGTGATTTCAACACCGCGAATTAGCGTAGCTGTTGCGCA